GCTATAAAGATGTATGGGCCTTCACAGAATGACCTCATTTGGGTGTCACTCTGACTTTTCCTATTGTACACACACATCTACATCAGACAGATTATAATGAAAGTTATTGAGCCTACTCGTGCTTCCCAGTGGATAGACACCATCTATTTTCAGCAAAGCTGCCCTCAGTAGAATAACCTTTACACCCAAAATATCATCTCCTAGTCAGATTTACAAGAAGATTGGATCCACCGGGGGGGGGGGGGGGTAAATCCTTCTGCTGTAACAAAAGCGCAAACAGCTGGCAGGATCACTGAGTCGGCACAAATTCAGTCAGAATATTTGTGTAAACTGGGTCTTAGGCTTTCTCAGAACCATCTGTTATATCCTACAGTTCTGTTGTACACAGCTGATTGGTGTTGTATGAAAACCTCCTTTAGAGCCTTAAATCCCCAAAGCGATCTGAAGCCAGTCAACAGAATATAATGAATCTGAAGCCTCTGATTTCAGATCGGATGCCGCGCCCCATAGTGCCACCGTGTCAGAATCCAGAATGACAACCTTATAATGGTACTGGAGGAGGAGATTAATCTTCTGGGGATTATGATTGGATACAAATAATTCTGCTCCAATCCATCCACTTGATAAAAGTTGCTGCTAGTGGTTCTAGAGGAACAGTCATCAAAACCATCCCCAATCATGGCAATCCAACCACTATTGCCCCTTTCACACCAGCGCTTTTTCAGCTTTTTCCTGTTCACACCGCAGCGGCGCCGGCTCTTAGCTCCGGAATCGGGTTCACTTCCAGCTCCAACAAATTGTCGGTCTAGAGGCAAGAGCTTCGGAGCTAAGAGGTGGCGTCGCTTACGTCTCTCTTACGTCGAGGCGTGCAGGAAACTAAACCCACCTTCCCTGAACATGGGTCGACTGTCATGCCTGCCTACAAGCAGTAGTGCTTATACACACACTTTATAAAGTCAGGCAACACTAACCAGGCTTCGTGTGATTCTGTTTATTTGTACCTTACTTTGACCATCCGTTCACTGTTATTGATCATTGTGGAGAGAGGCAGACGTGTTGTTTTGTATTATAGCAGCTATCGGATGGAATCAATACGTGGGCTGCACAGGTTGTCGTGTCCGACTATCACAAGTAGAATCATAATGAAAATACGCCGGTAAAATGTGCCTGTAGAAAACGGTTTATGCCACAATAGGATAGCAATAGCAAGTAGTCAGTTTAGCTTCGGTTGCTATGCTAACATCATCCATTTTATACCAGAGAAACTTTCATAACAGCGTTGTGATACCAAACAGCGTCAATTCAGACTGACACACATTCACTTAGGCTAAGGGGAACTGGGGATATGTATCAGCTGCTTGTGTGAGTTGGACAGTGAATACTTTAGAGCGGCCGC